AAAAGCCCAATCAGCAAGTTCAATCATCATTACAATTTAAGAGTTTGTGGTGTATGTGTCAGCTCTGTAGGTGTTTCTATTTAAACATCATCAGCAGAAATAAATCATAATTCAGAATGATATACAAACCCTCTTTTTATACAAAAACGAATTCATGAGGACGAATGTTTTTGGATTCTCTCTTCCCAAGGTTTACTCACATACACCACTTTGTTGATTCTCTCTTCCCAAGGCTTACTCACATATTTGGGTTCTCAAATGTTTTGTGTGGACGTATCCCAAAGTCACCTCTCCAAATGTTCTAAAATGTGCTTGCAATGTGTAATCACAAGAGTCTTAATGAAAAAGGAAAAAGGATAAAATTATACAGAGGCAGCATTTATAATTTCATCAGTCAGCGTTGATCAAGTAACAGAGTAGGACTTTTACTGAGCTCAGTATCAGACTGAATGGGGGAAGTGACTTAATGGCACAGGCGAATTTGATATTTTTCAGCATTTTCAGCAAGGAATATATTTAAGTAGTCAGGTCATACAAATGTCTATATACTGCACAGCAATAATATACTAGAACAGACTTGAACCTATAAACACATTTACAGAGGCTGCAAACAAAGAAGCAACACTTTTATTTAGAAAGGTACACTATCACCAGTTTTCCATTATGTTTGCAGAAAGATATTTAATTACTGAAAGCAGTGACATTTAAATAACTGTCTCCTTATCACCAAATAATGTATGAAGGTGAAGTCTTTTTTTTGTCTTTGGTGTAAATTCTATTCAAATGCACCCTTTCTTCCTTCGCAGATCGCACTCACACTGCCTGTCATGCACATCTGCTGAGGCTCATTTACATGTGACCCATTTTGCAAATAAAAATAAGTGCTAAACAAGTCTCATAGCTTTGAATTTGTCTGACCTTGCCCTGCTCTTAACAACAGGCTTTTAATTAATTGTGTTTATCTCGTCCTCCCACTCTGACTTCAGTACATGAATGTTTTGTAGGGGGGAGGGCTAAAATAAATAAACCTATGGGCTATGGGGAATACACCAAGATCCTTGGCTTCTCTTTATTCAGAGATCCACTGGGTTATGTAAAGGAAAACCTCGACTCATCTTCAGTCAGTATGCTGCAGACTCCAGCGCCAAAACCCTGGAGTGTCTGAATCATTTACTGTTTTAGACACAAAGTCATGCCACTTGAGAGGAACACAAAATTTAGATCAATGAACATTTCAGCTTTCCCAAGACTCAAATTAATACCTTTAATGGCCTCCTTCGTGTTAATTCTCTATCTTTGACAAATCATGTACCATTGTGTGTAATATAAGTTTAAACATCCTATTCTCTACACTAGCTTCACTGGCTTCTGGAACAAGCAACACAACCTCTAGGAAAAGTGTGAATCAGCAAAGTGAAGACGTTTTCTGAACATTAACACGATCAAATATTAAAAACTGATTATTACATACTGTAGCATGTTTATTATTTTCTTTCACATTTCACCAGGTTTGTAACAAGATTTTTGTCAGTTTACCAGGTTGTTTATGATTGAAAGCACAAAGACAGAGAAGTTCAGATTATCTGCCTTAAAGAGCCTGTTTTCATTCAGCACATAGGATCAGGGGGCTGGATCTAGAGCTTTCAAAGACAGATGATAAATCCAACAACACCTTCACACTCTGTTGAAATGACAAACACATGCTACATTGCTTATATAAGTCCAGGAACTGCCACAGTCAACTTATCTAAAAATATCCAAAATAGAAGTTATGGCTTCATTGAAAATCAGGATTCCCTCAGTATTTTTGAATGCACTTAAAATGTGAAGGGAAGGAAAGAAAGAGCTCTGGAAATGTACTATACATCTCCTCTCTGAAAAGCAGATGAAACACATCAAGTCTATTATAATGTTTAGCTTTCCTAACACAACAAACTCAATATGTGATGCCATATCATTTTACTGACATCTCCTTTATGACGTGATTCACTATCTGTGACCCATTTGGCTTTTCCATGCCTTCTCTAAACTTGCATCACAGGCATCTACTGTAGCTTTGTCTGGTGAGGCTAGCTGCACTACATCACAGCCGTTTAAATGAAACCTGGGCATACCCAGGTCTCAGCAGCCCAGAGGCTTGAAGAGCTGGTGAACTGCACCCCCTGTTCCACCTTAAGGACTGTTCTACATGCCAAGGCTGAGAAGCATGATCCTGGGAGACAAGGTAGGTCCCATGTGGGTCACTGCAATTAGAAAGCACTTTGATTCCAGTGCTCAAAGAGACCGACCTCCTCAGATACAGGCCAGCCTGCCTTATCTGCGCTTTCCTGTGTGTCCGTGACAGAATTATTTATAACCTCAGAAATCCATTTATTAACAAGCTCCTAATGAGCAGACAACCAGGGCCACAACAACTCCTTCTTATCACTAGCTGATTTTTTTTCCATAGGACGATTAATTCCCTTTGCAGAGATTCCATCAGCAATTATAGTAGCCTGCGTACTTAGCAACAGCCAGGCAGGCAGGGAGACAGGTTGGTGGGACTGCACACGGCTCGGGTCCCACACAGCCACAATGGTGGGAAATGTCAGCATAATTTCCACCTTTTTTCAAACAAAAAAAGAAGATTTTAGAAAGTGTCTTATTTTAAATTGGGAATTTGCAAAAGGAACAGACAAATGTTGCTAAAATTGTGTTAAACCTCCCTGAAGGATTGCTTTTTACCACGAAGCCTAAGCTTTTATCCTAACCTTTCCTTTGTTCTCTAAACAGCAGGTATTAATCACTTCTTAATTCCATGTATGTACAAACAGAACAACAGCGATGGCTGCTGTGCAGAAATCTTAGCCAATTTTCACTTCAGGTTTGTGAAATGATAGACTCCAGCCTGTGTCATTGCTCCAATGCCCCCTTCTACCTAGTGCATTTCTAATGATTTTACTTATTTTCGTTTCCAAGACTTTCAGTTTAAAAGTGTCATCTAACTTGTACTAGCTCCATACATCATCATTTCCATACATCACTGTGATGTGTCCACAGCTGTAACCTACTGTACTACAGAGAATTCATTTAAAGTTAGAAGGCAATGAGAAAGATGGAAATAACACCTGCACCATCAGGAAGGGGATGATGGAATGTGAGTTGTAGTGTTTCAGAAGCACCAGGCTTTGTGGCAAAATGAACCTGTTATATTGCGTGCTACAATATTACTCAGAATCCAAGCATGGAATAATTGGTTCAGAAGACAGTGCTATTGTTACTGTTATAGTTAGTCTTTCATTTATTGTCTAAAAACTATTGAATCAAAATGCTTCTTTACAATTATCTTACAATGAAATAAGTGCTGTGTCTATTTCCTCTGTATGTAGAAAACCAAGCACTGGTCTCAGGGTAGCTCAAACAGGTTTTGATTTTGTTATAACAGCAAAATAATTTGATGATATCATCTGTTACTGCAGTTAATAAGGACACCTTCAATTATGTATGATAGCAGTTTCCAGATTGTTTATGCACCATAAACCAGAAGAGACCTGCACCTGTGGAATGACGAATTCGTAGCCCTAAAGTTCTCTAATGTTCAAGTGACCTCACTATTATGATACTACGGCAAATAGGAGGATCGGGTTCTGGCAAAGCCAGAGAGCTCTGTGACCTCTCCATGCGGGAGCAAGATCTGACACTCGGTCAGGCCCACCAAAAGCTGCTGCCAAATCTTTAATCTTGAACCTCCAAGCTGAACCAGTGGCAAAACCACTAGAATGAATAGCAAAGGTCCCCTGGGTGAAGGGATAGTGCCATCTCATAGGAGCCTGTCACAGCCCTGTGGCAGCTGTCTAGCTGGCCTGCCAGCTGCAGTGCTGGTGGAGGAGAGAGCATGATTGAACCATCAGTTTAGAGAAGAAAATGAGCAATGTAGAAATAACAAAAAAGCAAAATTCTACATACAGTACAGCTCTTGTACAGTATTGGTACAGATCGCCTCTGTACTGGTGTAGACCTTATACACCAGGATACACCACTGCCTTACTACTGCTGTCATTTAAAAAAAAAATGAAGACCCATGAAGACCCATTTTTGGCATAGAAAGTTTTTATGTTAAACCATTTTTGGGGTGTCTGCACCACCAGAAGAAGTCCAAATTTGGAAAATATGCTTAGTGCTTTTTCTGCACCACCAGAAAAAGTCAAAATTTGGAAAATATGCTTAGTTCTTTAAGTATATCCACAATAGCAGGCTGGCAAACATTTACTGCAATTAGTAAATAAATATGACTAAAGTATTTTTGCAAGAAACCCTAGCCCACATTGAAAGACTAAAACAACCCTTCACACAAATCAAACTTCACATTCTGAACATTCAGACTTAACCAAAACAAACAGAAGATTTTCTATCAGCAATGTGGGAACTAAACCATTCCCACTACTTTGAAACTCAGTCAAATTGAGAGCAAGACAGAGGCAGCTTGTACATGAGAACACAAAATAGTTCAGAAATGAGAGGATACCATCTAGCCCATCTCACTGATTTGGTTGCTAGTATATTTTTGATCCAAGGACACTTTCAAAAATCCCAGGGAATCTGCCTCAAAAACATGGCTGGGCGGTTTGTTCTACAGACCCTACAAGTATTTATGTAAAGAGGTGCTTCCTGATTTAATTCCTATATGCACGTTGTCAAGGGAACATAAAAGTATCACTACTGTAAAATACAGCTGTTGTAACCCAATATATAACAAAACACTGTGTGTCACCTCATACTGTAAAAATGAAATATTACTGATCAGGGGTGTTCAATTGTGGTCCTGGGGGGGCTTTTGCTTCTGCAGGTTTTCAAGGGTTCTACAGTATAAAGCAGCAGCTGGGAGAGGCTGTTAAATTGGTCCAATTGAGCCAGCAAACCAGCTGGTTTAGCTTGTTAAAAGCTGACCTGGAATGAAATCCTGCAGACACAGCAGGATTGAACACCTCTGTTCTAGATCAACGCAGGTTTGGCGCACTTACTGGATTATCAGGCCTCAGTCTTTTGGAGGGGGGTCCTCCATCCTCTGGGTGCAGCATGTAGAAGAGACGTACTTTGTTGGCATGTTTCTTGCTCTGTGACAGGAGAGAAAATTGAAAATTCTAAATGTACACAAATTTCTCTATATAACCCTACATAAACCCTTGCACCTCTGTACTGTGTGCCTGCACAATAAAATTCCACTCTGGGCTCGTTTTCCCCTTTACTTCAATTGCTCTAGCTTGCTGGGCAGTGGGGCTGCTGGCGCACAATGGGTGCCATCCGTACATCAGATGGGTGTAACTCTTCAGTTTTATATGATGTGTGCCTTCTTCTATGTTTAAAGCTAATTGGAATCCTTGGAATGAAGAAAGTATTATTATTATTTATAATTACTATTCTCTCCACCTAGGCTATTAAAAACATGTCACATAACAGGAAAAAGCTTCACAAAGGTCAGCTTTACTGCTTTCTTAAAAATTCTTTTTTAAGATTGCATGTTTCAGTAAATGGCTAAGTAAAGAATTTTCTTGATCTGATTTTTATTTTAACACGTTGGAACCCTCAACTCTTTACCAGCAAGGAAAAGAGCTGAGGTTTGCCTACCTGAGCAGCCTGTAAGCAGGTAAAGGAATATCCTTATTTTATTAGCTTGCAAATACATCTAATTAGTCATGTACAGCATGTGTGAGGTATTTATTTGATAGCTGTGCCACAATAGACTGAATTATATTGTCTCCACCTCTGCTGGATACAGGCATGTCCTGGAATACTGTGAACCTTATTTTAAAAATGGATACAAGGAAATGATTAATTCTATAGGATTGTACACATACAGTAGTAATTCAGTATATAAATGTTTATTTCACTTAGTCTCTATGTTTTATTCATTTTAAAAATGTTCATGTAAGAATTACAAAACAAATCATTGATATCTCAGCTGAGCTTGCTAAAAAATTCAAGTTTCCTGAGGCTAAAACGGATATACACTGTTGTGCAAAGGTCTTACACATCTGAAACAGCATCAGGAGTTATGGTGGGTGCATGGCATGAACATAATCTACCCAAGGCCTCCACTAGGTTTACTACTGTTGGACTATTCAGTAGTTTGGACAAACTAGCTAAGATGGGGGAAAAGCTTGATTTGAATTAGTACGTGTCACTGGTGTAACTCAGCCAACTCTCCTGGCTGAGGAGAACGACAACCTGTCCACAGTGATGGGGCTGTCAGAACACCCCCCCCCCTTCTTGTAAAGAGATGAGTCAGAGAGCTGCTGCAAGTGTGAATATGGGGAGAAGGGAGGGATGAGAAAACAAAATATATACAGTAAGTAACCTATACTGTAAATACAATATTTATACATAGATTTAACCCTCAACTGAGCTTTTATTTTAAACTCCATGTACAGTACAGCTGTAAAAACTACTCTATGAATACCACTTAGTTTAGGTGAGAAGAAACCAAGCCTGTCATTGTTCTTTACACTGTTCACAATATTCAAAAATTTGATCCCAGCAACCCACGGTAAAACTAGGCATGAGCAGTCAATATAAAATAATGAACACCAATATGAAATATTGTAGAGCCCAGTCCATTATAATTAAATCTAAATTATAATCTAAATATATCTTCATCATTACCATAATACCTTTACCTCTATACATCCATGAATCTAAAATACTACTTTTTGCACAAGAAAATAGCTTTACTTTAGTAGAAAATGATGCAAACTCTAAGACATTTGCACAACAGTGTATGTGGTTATTTTTCTAAAATGTATCCAATCTGCACAATAATTAAAAATGAATAATATATATATGCTTCTTTATTAACAAAGACCCATATGCCCACCTTTCTGTTTACAACCTCAAAAGTGGGACAAGCATGATCACACACAAGTTCCTACCCATAAGGAAGCATGAGCATGAGTTCAAACTATCCTATTTTAATGGTAAAGGAATTTCAATTCACTGGTAAGACCACAGTACCTAAAATCTATGTTCTGCTGCAAATGAGTCTGCCTTACTGAAACAGAAACATGAAACTGCAACTGCTTGCCATCGCTACACACTGCTCTTTGTGGCATGACCCCGCAAAACTGAAGAGATTACATCAGCACATATTTTGCGAAGTGCTTCACTTTCCAGAAATTGAAATCTACACCAGTCACAATACTGTCGTCAGCTGCCCTGTGGGCCAGGGAAACAGGCAGTGTCTGATGACCTCAAAGCCTGGAAAACATTGTCCTAGGAGGGATGAGCTGGTAACAGGCCATAGAAGAGAATGCAGGAGCATAGAATGTTTAACTTAAACCACAAAACATCTGTACGCCTGGCTGAATTATTCGTGTGCCAACGTGCTGTATAATGTAATAATCACACAATCTACAAGCGTAGGGAGGTGAGAGCGTGGGGGGCACTACTCAACCTAAGTCATAAGAGTGAGGGAGGAGGGGCTTGTGAAACAGATGGGGAGTCATGCCGAAAGAGGAGAATAAAGAGCAGTGTGCATGAAACAAGGGCCAGTTCAAGGACAACTCTGAAAGACAGAGTGGTCCTTTGATAGATGACAGCACAAGGCCTGCTATTTTTCTACCTGTCAGTGCTGCTGGAACGCAGAAGACAGGTTCCAATTGGAAAAAGTGGCAGCTGTGCTCTGGTTGCTGGAGGTGGGACTGAAATGGCAGCTGACTTTTTCGAATCCAGGGTGAACAGCAGGTGCACCCCTTTTACATTAGGGATCTCGGGAACATCTCTCAGTAATGAAGGGAAGCCTGCTCGTGCTTTTATCCTGTGTCTGGGGGCTATCCATCAACAGGGAAGGCTGGAGCAGCATGACAAATTACAGTTCAAAGAAGAAAGAAAAAGCTACATTAAACTATTCTGACAACTTCAGAATCCAGTGGGCAAGTTTATTACTTTGGAGACTCAGGGGAGAATAAATGGTCTGATGAGTCTTGTACAATCCACCATTTCTGCTTTTATTTCCAAAAGCATCCCTCCATGTCATACTGAAGGGACATACAGACCTTAATTTGACCAGCTGGCTCCCTCAACAGATTGTCTGACAGTGTTTTACCCCTGGGCTAGGTGCTCAGGTGCCATTATAGCTTTGCCAGTCAGCCCAATCATCTGGCCTTTGCTTTCATAATCTGCCATCGTAGGCCTTTGTAGAGTTCTTCCAAAAAGCAGCATGAAACAAACTTAACTCAGGGTTCATGCAAGGATACAATAAAGGTATGGTTTTAACCCTTGAGAATTTTAAGATAAAGGTTTACCGCTTCAAATTCTTAAAATGATATAATTCTCAGTAGGCTGCTTCCACACTTTTTCATGCTTACAGTTATGCTTACTGTAAGGCTCGTCTTTCTTAAACAAACCAACACAAGAGCTGCACTTCAGCAGAAATGTCTAGAATATCCTTAGCATTTAGTACTAGATAAAACCTGAATAAACTAATTTTAAGTGAGGTGTACTGTATGTGATGTCTCACCTCATAGTGAGCGACGCGCTGAGACTCGGAGATGAGCTGGGCATTGCAGATGTTGCAGTAACTCTGTGTGAAAAGTCCACCATCACCAACTCCTGCTGACTTCATCTACACACAGAAACATCCACAGAAATAAATGCATTAGCAGATTGGGTCAAGAAGAGATCTTCACGTTACTAAATTGTCTTTCCAGAACTTGAGGACAGTCATGTGAACATATAGTACTGTCAACAAATCTCATTACCCTCCATCACTTCCTGAAATTAACCCTGGGATGCAGCCCTTTCTCTAGGAGACCTAAAGTACAATTAAGAGAATGAGTCCATAGGACCTGCATTCTTGAATTAAGAAACTGTAAAGATTTTCAATTAAACTTAACTGCTTTTAGTTCAGGAATTGACTTTTAGCCACAAGAAAGCTCTACAACCCATCCAGTAAATCTAATTTTGTTTGATTTTTCAGTAAAGACACACTTCACAAAATAGAAAGCAACAGAAAATTGCAAGTTTTTCGATTATAATATTTCAGGAAGTGTGGCATTTAATGTATGTCCAATGAGCACAAAGAGGAAGAAGCAGTTTCAAGGCTATTTGTGCCTGCGAGCAACTTTTCATTCACAGATATAGCATATTATGATTTTGTGGTTGTTGAGTTAGATAGTGATGGGGGAGTCAAGGTAAATGGTGAGGGCAAGATGGCATCACTGAAACACTAGCTCCATCTGAGTGTAGGAGAAACCCTACTCTGTCCTGACTCATCTGGAAAACTCCTCTGCTTATTAATGAGCTGAAGAGCATTTTAACACGATAGCATGTTGCTTACAGCTTTTTAACAGTACAACAAGGTAGAAGATTAAAAATGCATCTGACAGTGGTAAGAAAGGCACTTGAGATGGAGAGCTGTCAAGCTCCACACCAGAGAGAGATGGCATGAGGTAGTTCACCCCACAAAAGACATGCTTAAGGTGAAAGCAGAGCTCGCATTGTGCTCACTTGGAGAAACTGCAAGGAAAATAAATACTCCTGAAAACATTTCATGTTAATGATCACAATAAAGATCTCATTTGATTATTGTCATTTAAGTTTAAACACGGACTATTTTATTTCTGTGCTATTAGCAACAGGTTACAGTCATATGGCACTGGGAAATACAGTAGCACTGGACAACACTTTAAACATTAGTAGTCAATGAAAGTTAAGTTTGGCATCTTGTTTTGTTCAACAATTTGTGGTAACCCGAATTCAAAAATTTGTCTGAATAAGGCATTCTTAAGACCACATTCATCCATTTGATCGAACTGATGCATGGAACTACACCAACTCTGCTTTAGTACTTTGGTCAAATCCTAAACAATGCAATGCCACCTTCAAAGGTGCTAAGCTCACCTGGCTGAAGAAATGGCAACCTGATTGTAAGGACGAGGCTGACAGGACCCCACTCAGCCTGTGAGGAATAATTCAAGGAGCTGAAGTGTGAAGTGTGGAGTGAAGATGGGTTAGAGGGAGGGGTGCAAAACAAGTAATAGCTATACTGTAAAGGAGCCCCATTTTTGGCTGGGGACCTCACACTCTGCTCCCCAAAGAATGGAGTTACCTGCAACTAAATGCTCATTGCCTACAAGATAAGTACTTCATGATAATAAAATTGGATTGTAAGTGTACTTTAGGGCAAGTACTCATCATATTTTAAAATGCTGACAGTTTCACAAAATGTATACTATGTGGAAAAAAAGATTAGGAGAAGCCACGAGAATTCATAAAGTACATCTATGTATGTTCGTACTGTCTTGGGTGACTAAACATCAAATTCTTTTCAACATTTGTGATTTATGTAAATGAGGGGATTGCCTGTTAAAAGATTAGTCCATCTCATTTTGGATATTTTTCTATTTCCTCAGATCTGAATTAATCGGCTTAATCAAAAATAACCTAACTAGTTAATCCCCATTTTACAACTTATAAACTGTGTGGAATTTTAAACATCAGCCTTGCAGTGATGGTCACAGTTCTACATCATAATAACTGCACATTAATCTATGTTTGTTTCCAAGAGCAGCCTAATGCTGGTGCCATACAGATAATTGTTGGGCAGCACTTTCACTACTGTAAACACACATTTGTTTAGATATTTCCCTTGGCAGAAACCATATTTCCATTAATACATATGCATTAGCAGTTTGCCCAAACTTTTTCACAGTCTGTCTGCGAAGGAGGGAACAATCAAGCATGACTGCCAAGGTGAATCACAATCTCTTCTAGCACCTCCAATCCACCCTTTTTGCTGTTTTTATTTTCCTTTATTCAGACCAAACTGATAATAGAAGGCATCAACAATACAGATATGAAATCAAAAGAAAGTCAGAAAATTAATTACCAGGAAAATGGTGCAACATTTACTAAAAATCAAAAACAGTAACAAAATTTCTAAAATGTAGAAAATGAAATTCAGGTAGGGTTAAACAAAATATAGTAATATACTGTATGCACAGTTGAGATTTGTATCTAGGGTACAAATACAAATAGATATGCTTTAAATAGAAAATAGAAGCAGATCCAAATGACAGAGCACTGACTTTCCAAAGAAGTACAGTAGCCCGTCACATATAGCTTTCCTGTTAACTAGGCCCCTAGTGCACCCATTAAAGTTTGGTTCTAAAGAGCTAGACTTCAAAGTATTTGGTTCAGTATAATGCTCACGTCATGCTGAGGAGACCATGGAATGAACAAGCCGCACAAAAGCAAGCAGTTCTTCAAACCTTTGCCTCTATGTAAATCCTCAGGAATCTGACAGGAGTTAGTGAATACATCACCAGCTCCTTCTTTTCTCATTCCTTTTATCATTTTTCACGAGAGATTTGTTGCAAGTTCCTAGTTGCAAGATATTTTTAAAAACTCAAGAGATTTTTACAGCACACTTACCACCATATAGTCCTACAGTATTTCATCAGATTTTAAGAACCTATTATAGCTGGGCTTGGTCAGTTCTGGGATGGGAGACCTCTGAGGAAAGCTGCTACTGTAAGGGGTGTAAGTGGACCTTTAGCGCTCTTCCTTTTGGTTTAGAATTGAGGAACCTATTCTTAAGCCTAGAGAAAGGGAACACTGCTGTACTCCAGGTGAGATGCTAGACCGAAGTTCTGACTTCTTGGTCATTAATGATATGATGCTTTTCAAAAGTGTATGGGTGTTAAACCCAGTGCCCGGCTACATTCTGCTCTGGGTACAATCTGGCTTCTCCAAATTTCCCCCTTAATTCCATTTGCAAAATAACTTCTACTTCTCCATTTCATCTTCTGCGCTGTTGGCTCATAATGACTGCTACTCCTCCTTTAGATGGGTGCTGCACTTCAGTGCCAAAGTGAAGCGTTTTGGGATCCTTTAGGACGAAAAGTGCTGCAGTATATAAATGCAAGTAATTCTAACTGTTGTTTATCACTCCCAAGAGCAACAACTAGATACTGTATTTTGAACAGGCAGAAGCATTTCATGCACTGGGCTTTTTTGATTGATATTTGAAGCAGCCTGACCAGTTAGTCATAAAAAGTGTTTCTTTTCTCCCTGGAGACCCCCTTTCATTCTCCATAATCACTCCCCAGATATTTAGCAAGAAGTCAGTTTTCAAAGGCTCCTGGAGTCTCTGTCAGGTTTATTTCAGCAAATGAAGGTACATGTATTCTGATTCACCACTGTGCTTCCCAGGTGGCTGCTGTATGCTCATGTGCCTACTGTACTAATTCCATCAGGGATTAAATATCTACCTTCAGCATTACAACAAAGAAGCCTGGGTCTCAAAGTACTGTATTACTTGAGCTCAGAAAGTGATTTTTAGGGACTGTGAACTAGTTTTTATTGGCTTTAAATTTTCACAAACTGAAAATAATGAGAAGAAAACTGTATTTTACAACAGCCCACAACTTGCCAACCAAAGAACTCATAAACATGAATCAGATTGCTACAGGTATGATAGAAACACTGCGTATTAAGGATTTGTCTGCATTAGAAACAGCCCTTGAGATCTCCAGCAACCCCTCCCAACTCCCAGTCCCAATAGATCCAAGCACTAAGCAGCTCCATATACTGTACAGTAAACAATATCAGGACATTATAGCACCCAAAGATGATCTGCACATATGAGGAGAGAGACTACAGATGCTCCCAACACAACACTTACTGTACATCCTTCTAGCTACCATGGAACTGGAGAAACAGATCCTTCCTGCCACAGTGAGAGACCAAGGTTCAAGCTTTTATTTAGCAAACTTGCTAGATGTGAGCACCGAATATCCTTGTTTAGAATAATGGCCAAAAAACACATTTTCCAAACCTAACCACATCTGGACATTCCTAAAATATGTGTAAGAAAGTATCCACAAAACCCTCCTGACAGAAACAGAAAATCCTTTTTTTTTAAATGGCCTACATACTGTATTGCTTCATGTTCTTCTGTCTTATAGTACATGTATGTGTTCAACATTGTAAAGAGAAGGAAACAGTAGGTGGCTAGCCACAGAAATTACATACAGTACTACTGCACTAGTCAAACTAGGGGTTAAAAACATCACCAGGCTCCCCTGCTGGCTTTGTGGTGTTCAGGGTTTGACATTTGGTTATTAAGCCCACTCAGACATCTCACTCACTAAATAACGCCTTGTTATCCCTGAATAGATCATTACCCTATCTTCATATTTTATTGAGCAAGTTGTCTTACAAGTGCGGCAGTACTTCAAACTGCCATTCATCAGCCTGGAGGAATGAACCCCCAGGAGAGAGTTATTTATAACCCATGACACCGCCCTGAACATTTTTTATGTTTTGCAGAATAACAAATGTTTTGTGTGCAAGTTCTTTAACTGATTTTAAGGTATTGTTTTTTTTAATGTGTACAATCTGTTTTTTAAGGTTTTCCATTGATAAAAGTACTCATAAAAGTAGCTTTCTTTCCATTTGAGAAGTTGATTTATTTTCTGTAGGTTTTGATAGACTGTATTACAAAACTATGTGTTGACCATAGTGAAATTATTTTTTGCACACTGGCAGAACTTTAAACCTGGCAGACATCTGCTACATTTCTGTAACTACAATTCTCCCCCCTTCTCTGACAAATTATCT